CGGGGCTCCGGGGGTGCCTGCTCTGGCGGGGGGACCCGTCTGCGCCCCCTCGGCTGGGGGAGCGGGGCTGCGTGGCGTGCCGGAGAGTGCCCGGGGTCTGGCCGGAGGCTGGCTGCGGGGTGGGGGGCATTGCACGGTGGCTTCGCCGTGCCCTTGCACTGGGGGTAGCCTCTGCAGCTTCCAGGGTTATGCAAGTCCTTTATGAGCCCGCAGCCTCATCGGCAGGGCTGCACCTCCTGTAGAACTGCCTGCATATTGAAATCGCCGTAATCCTTACCGGAGGTGTAATTGCAGAGGTGACATACCGACGGGCACTCCAGCGCTCTGCTCCAAGCCTGCAACTCATCCCTTCCTCCTTCTGCTGCAGGTATGGGCCACCCTCCACTGGAGTCCCACTTGGCCGCAGCCAGCGCTGCGCACCTGAGGACCAAGCGATGTTCCTGCAACAGCTGGCTGGATAAGGAATGCATTTACTTCTGTCACCTGGATATCATCTGGGTCAACACACCTGGGTAAGCATGAAGGTAGCTTTCTGAGGGGGTGGCTCTGCTGATGAGTAAACGACTGTACGTTCTGATCGAGGATGGGGTTAGGTTAGAGGAAAGTGAGAAAGGGTCCCGGTGCTGTGAGGCTCTTGTAGCACCTGCTCCGGAGAGCATTGCAAGTCCAGTCCTCTCCAACATCTAGAAAGGGACAAGCTGTGTTTCCGCTCAGGAGTTTCAGTATAAGCCACAGGGGAGGGGGGTGAAAGCACAGGGCGCTGCCTCCTCATGGGTTCATCTTTTTCTGAGATTTGTACCTCTGCAAGCCGAAAGCAACGCCAAGATGTTATAGCTGCAAGTCGGAAAGTTACTTTACCCGCTTGCAAACTGTAACCCTGACTGCTGGCTGCCAGTATTGGTAATGAGACAGTGGTGGGCTGGCACTAAAGTCCTGTGGCTGCCAAGTCCTGCCCTCAAGAAAGCTAAAGCAGCTTTCTGAGCGGTTTCAGACCAATGGCCATCACACTGTAGCAAAACACATGTACTCAGGTGTGGTTATAATCATGCTTGCTAACATGCAATTACAACTCACTGCTTGCTCAGAGAATAGTTGCAGTCACTGCCAATCCTAAACCCTCTGGGAGAGTAGATTGCGATCAAAGATGGAGCGGGAATGTGCTAACAGCTCTGAAAGCGTGCTGTGATCAGAAGAACCTGTTATGGCCCCAAGACATCTTGATTTGTCCTATGTCCTGTGTGTTAAAACCCATGGGGTGAGGGAAAGCCCTGACATCTCTGTGCTTGAGAAGCTGGCTGCTTGCTGCTGGTGGGGCTGGTGGACCGGGGCAGCCACACTCCTCCGTGCGCTTTGCCACCCAGGTGAACTGCCAGCTTGCCCAGCCCATGTGGCGACCCTTGCACGGGCACCTGGGCTGCTGCAAGGAGAGAAAATTCCACTTGCAATCCAGCACATATTGGCACGGCAATCTCCCTGGGAGGGGTAGGGTGGGGAAAACAGTAGGTGGGAGAGGAGCTGGAGTTTAAAGGCTTAGACATATCAGTGACCTTTTCACCTTATGTCCATAGATGAGGCTTTTATTATCCTGGCACTGGCTTGGCTGCCTCCCAGGACTGTGTTATAAACCTGTTGGCTAATAAAAAGTTAGTTGCATAGCTGATTTCTTTTGTTTTTAAGACACACCGCTCCCTATGGCTTGGGAAGCCCGCCAAGGCGGCGCAAGAGATCGCTCAGCAGGTGCGAGTGCTCGCACTCGAGGGACAACATCTGTGCCACCTTCTGCCAGGTGAAGCCTGGGTAAGTCAAGGGGGTCCTGGGGATGTCCCTGGGGGCTGCTCGGCGAGGGTGCAAGCAGACAGACAAAGCTTAGGAGCTGGAGTAACTCTACAGCTTCCCTGGGGATGGCTGCACAGCTCTTCGCAAAGAGCTAGAACTTGTCTAGTGGCTTTCCCTCCCAAGAGGCCCTGGCAAAGTGTCACTAGGGTATTTTTGTTGTACAATAGTGTCTTTACTAGCTGATATGAAGCAATGTTACCTCCATCCCTCCTGCTGCCAGGAGGCTGAGGAAGTGCTGGGTGTGCTGGTGGGAGGGGGGGAGCTGGCAGCACGGAGAGGGACAAGCGGAGGGTGTGAAGCTTTGGGACACCAGTGTCTCCTGCACGGCTCAGGTGGGAAAGGCTGCAGGAGAGTAGGACTGCTGAGAGCTGGGACTCAGAAGTCTAATATCTTCTGTACCCGGCTCTTATAAAGTGCACGTGGGCTCTCAGTTGTCTCGCTTCAGCCAGCGGTATGGGAGTGCTTACACTGTGAGGAGATGGGGAGCAAAGTCACTGTAGAGATCTGTCATTAATTTCATATCAAGGCAATAGTTAAAATCCCTAATGATTAAATATGACTGTGGATAAAGCGAGGATAGAAGTAAAAGTGAGCTATAAATAGCTCTCAAATAGCTGCAATTAACCCTTCAAAAACATGCATTCAACTGTCTTCATCTGTCACTGGTGACGTTGGAGCAACACTCCCCCCGGTACTCACCATAGCATGGCTGGATATGACTGCTTCATGCATCTCCTCTTGCTCATTAGGTACCTCCAGAGTCTGAAGCTCCCCGTGAGCTCTGGAGCATCAATGAAGTCTCCACAGAGCAGTGGTGTGAGGCCTTCCCATCACGGCCTGCTGAGAGCTCTCAGGTGAGCATGCCGCTTAAACCTGCTCTGAACTTCCCTCATAAGCACTTTAAAATCTGCCGTTGTGACCCCAGACTGCTGTTGCCACTTGGATTTGACCTGACTTCCCCCTCTTGTCTCCCTTTAAATGAGTAGACTGGACTATTTCTGCTCTCTGTAGAATTGACGGCTAACAGTTGAGGGAACCAGGGTTGCTTGTGTCCTTCCAAAACTAGAGGAATATTACATAAACTGTAATTCTTGATTGGAGTGGGAAGCTCCTCTGATACGGGACAGGCAAATGGGTGATGTACAAGACAGGGGGGAGGGACAGCATCATGTAGGAAAACGATTGCTTGGGCAGCAGCTTTGGACCAGAGGAAACAGCTTTTCTCACATCACATCAGTGAGTTGTGGAACTCACTGCTGGAAGAAACCGTCGACTCCAGGAGTGTAAATGAGTTAAAGGGAGTTGGCAAACTGAAGGAGGATTGGTCCATTGGTGGCAGTGAAATCGGATGCAATGGGAACAATTTCTGAAAGGCAGATCTGGGGAAGCATCACTTGGGTCATGCCCTGCTGCAGGACTCCTTGAAGCCTCTGCCACTGGCCACTGGTGGAAAGGGGATATTGGGCTAGATGGATCTCCGCTGTGGCTTAATACAGCTGCGGCAAGAAACTCCCCTCTTCCTTCCCCCGTCTTCTGCCTCAAAAAAAACTTGGCGAGGAGTAGATAAATATCATAATACGGGTTGTTGCTGAGTAGTAGGAAAATGGACTGGAGAATGAACGTAGTGTCTCTTCTGTTTACAGGGATCTTGCCGTCTCCAGTCTGCGGTTCAGCAAGCATCAGCACCGTTCTCAGAGGAGCGCACAGCCAACAGTTTTGCCTTGGAAGAAAAACATCTGGAAGAAGAAGAGATAAGAAACAGGTGCATACCAAGTTCACCAGAAGAATTTGGAGTCCTGTGGGTGCCACTAACTCCGCTGTCGGTAGTTAGAGCTGAAGGAAAGGCCATGAGTGGAAGGGGGAAGAAGTGGAAATCTCCGTGCTCCTGTTGTGTGAACCGGTACTGCATGCACTCCAGAGACTGTTGTAAAGGGAAAACTGTCTCTCTATACAGTCATAGATGTGTCGTGGAGCTGAATTGTGCCTTTTTGGATCAGGCAAGGGTCTTGCTGGTAGAGTACTAGCTTAACTCTGCACTGGAGTCCTAGGCAGAGGGTCAGCCCGCACTGGGCGGTTGAATCACTTACAAACCAGACGGCTCTGTGCAGTTCTGGACCTGGCAGCACTGAGCCCGTATCACTGGCGTGGTCTGCTCTGCCTTTGAGCCATGTTTGAGCACGGTTCCAGCTTGGCCCCATTCAGAGGTGGTGTGGCGGGGATAAACTGCCTCCAGCGTGACCCGCCTCAGCCCACCTTTGCACTTTTTTCTCCTGTCAGACAGTGCGATGTGCATATGAATGAGATTCCCATGGTAAAACAGCTCCCAATTTTTTATTAAAAGAATATATATCATCTAGAAGTCTGAAAGCCAGCTGAGTAGTCAGTGGCATACTTTGGCTGAGAAATTCACTGAAGGGCCATCCTTAAGTGGCTCTTGTTTAGGTGGAGGATAGTTTGCTTACACCAGAGCTTGCATCAAATCCAAGCATGACCCCTGCCATCAGGCACAGCAGCAGCAGGGATGGGGAGGCTGAAGTGGAGCTGTAATTCTGCAGGAACCCTGTGCATGCAGCCCCAGGTAGCCTAGGGGAGGGAGCCCCACTGGGTCCGAGGCAGAGCTGAACTGCTAGTCTGGATGAGTTCAGTGCTGTGAATCTGTCTCATCTTCTTGGACATACCCTTAGTGGGGTAAAGTACTTCTAGCTCTTAACCTAGTGTCCCAGCTTTCTTTCAGCTCTGCCTGAAAGGAGAGGCTAGGGGCAGAGAAGATGGGTGGTGGGAAAATAGCACGCAAAGGCTTGCTTGCTTCTTTGCTTAGATCAGGTCTCTGAGTCGGACTTTACATAATAAATGATCAGTATATGGATAGCACGTCACTATGAGAAGTGTAACCTGAATAGAGAATGCATTAGGCAAGAGGCAGCCAGGTGGGACTGATGTGGAGAAAAGGATGGCCGAGAAGAGAGCACAGCACTGTCTGCACAGCTTTAGAAGAAAGGCTTGGATTTAAACTCATGCCAGAATCATGACTGCTTCCCCAGGCCTGGAGCAGCACAGTGCTGCTGGCCCAGAGGAGGGAATGAATAATTTGGAAAAAACGCTGAGCCCAGGACCTAGAAACCAATCTTGTAGGCAAACACAATCTCAAGGCTCTGGAGCTGTATCACAAATGCACTTTTGTTTGCCTGGGCAGATTAACTTCTATTATAAATTGTGGCTGCAACTGTCATCTGGTTCGTGCAGATAAATAATTGCTCTCCTGGAACCACTGTTGGGTCCCCCTTGCTGCCCAATCCAGTATTACACATGAGCATTTAAAAAGGCTGCTTGAAGTTGGTAGTGGACCAAAATCTGTGGCTGTTGCAAGTGTAGTCTCATTGGACATACAAGATACTTCCTTGATTTTGCTTTATGCCCTGGGGGGGGGGAAATGAGACCAATTGATTGTATTGTAAATGAAACAGCAAACTAATCATTTGGTCCCCAAAGCTGCAGAGAAACTTTTTTATATTTGACCTTCTGAAGGTTTGAGTCATTCTAAAAAAAATCCTGAAAGGGTTTGTTCCAGAGGAAACTTTGCACATGGTTTAATGTGAGCCTAGTAATTTAAAATAAAACTACTGCTGTAAAGACCTATGTATATCTCCTTGTGTGTAAAATGTCTCATCTTTAAGTGACTTATTGCACACATGCCATATGTAGCATCCTGAAATCTGTATATTTATTTAAATCTATTGATTTTTTTAGACAGTAATTTGCAAAATTTAATTTGTAATAAATAATGACAAAAGTCAATACAATTTTTCTTCCTTATTTGATGGCTGGGTGGTGGTGGATGAAGTGAAAGAAACCCACATGGCCAAAAGCACTGTGAAAGTGAGTGGGACAGCAAAGCTGGGTGAGAATGGGGGGCTACGTAGTCTTGTGAACAGTCCTGAGCAAACTTCAGTTCAAAGTGAATCTATCTAGCTGACTTAAACATTCCTTAACTCATTCCTTTCTAGATGTCTATGGGAACATAGATGTGAAATAATACCCAATCTGTTGTGCTTGGGGCTGTGGATGCTGAGACCAGCTTGAATCCTTGTGCCAAGGGATCCTGTTAATGTTTTCCCATGGTTTAGTCCTTTGCCTCAAATCCTCTCAGCAGCTGTGACTGTGGGTGTCAGCATCACAGGGCCAGAGCAACCACACACCCTCTTCTGCACCCACTAAATTTTAGATCTGAGTTTTGTGATTGTTTTTAATTCTTTTTTTTTAAGTACAGTTAAAAAGTCATTAAAAAGTCATCATCCATTTGATGGTCTTCTTTGCATGAAGACCACACCATAGATTATTCTAGTGTGGTTAACTCAGTGAATCTCATGGCACAGCTGTGAGAAGGGAATAAAAAAAGAAACATTAACATAATAGCTAGCACTGTGCTTGCTGCATACGCAGAAACCATAGCACTTCTTCGTGGGTTGCCATGGCTTCCTGGGAACAGTAGTTCAGAGAGCTACAGCCCCATCCTTTCCTATTGCCCAGGTTTCTTGGCTGAGCTGCATCACCCATGGCCAAGCCTCCACCCTGTGACTTGGTGTTAGAATGTGTGAAAATCAGATTCCTTCAGATGTTTCTATGACAGTAAGTCATAGTTTCTATGACTTTAATGATAAAGGACCATGATAAAAAGGACCTTGAATTACAGGTAAAAGGGAAAAAAAGGTACCCTGAAACAATGCAAATTTCCTATGTATGATATCTGTGGTGCAATTCTCCCCTCTTCTGCTCAACCTTGTTGGAGAACAGGCCTGCAAATTTTGCCTGTTTGGAGTAACAATTTCCACGGCATCTTGCTTGGACTGATTTCAGGTGGTGTGAATGAGGAAGCTGAGGGCTGTTGGAAATTAATTCATTTCCCAGGAAAGATTTCCCCATCATCTGGAATGTCTATTGAGCCAGCCTTGGGCCCAGCCTTTTATTTGTCTTTCTTAGGTCACAGAAGAACTATGGCCTTAGTCAGCCCTTGGTCTCAGAGAACAAAGCATCCCTGCTCGGGCAGCTCATGGCCCAGCCAGCTGTGAGGGTAATAGCACAAGGGGAGCATCGCGTTTGCTGGAGGTGTGACCGTAAGAAATGCTCTCCAGCCCTGCTACAGTGTGTGGACTTGAAGCAAGACATTCAAACAAGGAGAGAGAAAATTTGAACTAACCCATTTGTGGGTGGGTTGGTTGTTTTTTTTTCTGGCCCTAAGATCAATGAACAGAGGAAAATTTCCAGATAGGGCTGAACGATGGAAAATCTTCCAGGGCAGGCTCTACACATTCACTTGGGGAAACTTTGGACTCACTGTTGAGTACTACAGAAGGGAATATTGGAAGTCAACTTATCTGGATAGCCAGTTTAAAAATACCACAGGCCAGACATCCAGAAAAGTCCCCCAAGGCCCAGATCAAAAAATCTCAGAAGACCTCCTTGCTAGGATCTTATATAAGGCCCCTCAGGTGTCCCACCCAGTGCTGAGGAGCAACCTGAGCCTGGCAGTAACCCCATGGTGTCACCTGGAACAATGCCGACATCTGTGCAAAGCCCAGCCCTTCGGGTACAGTTTTAATTACAAGAGCTAATTAGGTATCACCCAAAGGAAGAAGAGAAGGGAGATGCTTAAGAGCATCTTAATTAGGGTAAAAAGGGAGAAGAGAGGATGAGCTTATTCTGAGGTTATTGAATTCAGTGATAAAGATTAGCCGAAGTTGATTGAAGGAGGCATATTTTATAAATTCTCACACGTAACTGGAAAGAACAGAATAAAAAAACTTTAATAGAGAGGAAAATCCAGGAAAGCAGGCAACTTCCAAAGCCAGTTCTAAGTGTAAGTGCTAGGGTATCTTTCCTAAGATACAACTTTTTGATTGAGCAGTCCTTTTTATGACTGACAATTCCCATAAAAGTGGACCTTTTGTGCCCTGCATGTGACTCTGGCATTTTTTCTGCAGCAGGAGTTCCTGAAGAAGAGCCTTTATAGATGGTCCACAGGCAGCTAACTTTCCTTCTGTACTGTGTGACAGTTCTGTCCTCATCGGGTTAGGCAATATTTTTTTTAGTGGGACTTTGTTCACGTCTCACATTTGTTGAACTGATAGGTTCTGCTCAGGAGAAGACGTGTTGACGTAAAAATAAAAGGATGCTTTGAGAGAGGAGTATTTGGGTGGATACCTTTTCAAGGCCAGCCTTTGATGCTTCCATGGAAAGAAGAAGCTGTCCATGGTAGATACCTGCTTTGCTAGAAGATTCTTCTGCCTGGCATATTATAGTTTTGCCCTGCTTTGGTTTGGATCACCCTGCAGAAGAGCTGGGCCTTATGAAATAAGACTTATGGTGCAACAGGAGGGGAAGGGACACTGAATAATGGGTGCAGAGTGATGCCTTGCCATGGGTCAGCAGCTGGTCCCCGTGCCTTTGGTTTCGGCACCTCTGACCTGAGCTACAAGGTCAGTGGCTCTGTGGAGACTGAATATGGACCAGCAGTATAGACCCCCGAGACAGTACTGGTGGCCTACCCAGCAGCTGTGTCTCTATCTGTAGGATTCAATCTATTACAGAAATCTTTCACTCCTGCATGTGACTAAAACTGAAGCTAGAAGGTACTGAGGCAGATATTCTGCAAAAGGCCTTCCCTCTGGGAGATACCTCCTGTGAACACTTGTGCTGTAATGCCAAGCTTAGAATAATGTAGTTCAATGGAATGGAAGCTTCCCAGCTTTCTCTACCACTGAGAGGTTCTCCAGTCATCTCAGCCATGGCCAGGGTGCAACCCTGTGGTTTGGCTTGCATGCTTCAGACTATGGCAGGATACAGCACGTGTCAATGGGTAGTTCTAGCCAAGGAAATAGAAGGCTTGATTAAACTTCTGTGTTTAAAGTTGCCAAATCTTGTCTCTAGCTCCAGTGTCCTTGGGTATGAAGA